CTATTTATGAATTTAATTCAAAACACAGATAAATGGTGTTGAAAGCCAAACCTATAAAAAATGAAGCACTGATTCCAGAAGACTTTGCTACCTTCAGCTGTCCTCGTTCGTACTGCTTCTTTATCGCAATTGATAACAACATATGTACGTACTGCTTAATAACAAGAACTTTAGCTAACCTGTTACCTGTTACTCTGAATTTGTGAAAAATGGTATAACGCAAAAAATTATATTTGCATATGACATATGATGGAAGTTTAGCGAAAGAAAGAAACCAAGAAACAATTCTTTTTGGTTTTTTATTTCGTTTTTTGGATTATTAATTTAAAGATTTTTCGATTTATAAATATCAAGGCTGAGTCTAAATAATTTAATCAGTGATCATTTGAAAGACCGAAATATTCTTCTTAACTTGAAAATTGGTTAATTTTGATTTTACTCAAAAAATTAACAAGCAAACCCTCATTTCTGTTAATCAATTTCGCGCCAACAATAGTAATTCGAGCAACAGAGTTCACTTTTTTACAAGAACACAGTCCTCGACCAGGTGTATCTTTCTTGAGTTCCCGAGGAGCGATATTTCGTTCCGAATAGATTCGAAGCAAAAATTTAGCAAATTCGCGAGGTGCGAATGTTGTCGGGAATAGAATATAACGCCCCCGCCTCAAATTCTTACAATGTAAGTACACTGAACGACTGTAGTTATAATCTGATGTTACTTCCGGATTTATAGCCTGGAAATAAATTCCTCTTCTTTTACAACTTATTTATTCTTCCAAATAAGTTAAACGTTTCCAAATTTCAAAGTGTTGCTGAATCAGACATATACTCTGAACAAACTGAATAGATCATATATTCTCCATTGCACTGCAACCAGTTGTGCAAAAATAGTAATCATTTAATCTCAAACTTTAGCTAAAAATGAGGAAATAATCTTTCGTAATTTTTGCGAAGAGATGATTTCATAACTTCAGTTCGCAGATAATTTGTGGTGGAATGACGAAATAGCAAACCTGATGTATTCTGTAGACCCGATTATCTTCTACTCTCATCAGATGCATACCAACAGTCACAAGCGGTCCAACGTTTTTCTCACCCTCATCCTTCACTTTTTGTGTTAATGCGAATCGCACTTCAGAATCCTCAACATCGATATCAAATCGATACTGAAGTATGGCAGCCTTTTGCGACTGAACTCATTAATCAAATTTATTCCTTAATAAAAAAGTTGTGGCATTCAGTAATCCGATCTCATACGATCAATCTAAACTAAATTCGTGAATAACAATGGTAGATTGAAAAAACTGGTTTTACGAATGTGTTGAAGGGTTTCAGCTACCATTAAAAATTAAAATTAATATTGATAAATTCATATTAATCCAGTAACTCAGTATGATATTTCTCCCAACAATGAAATCACCTGCAAAGTGAATTAATTTTAAATGATCTTCCTGAAATGAAGATATATGAATCTCTACTACCAAACCGATTGATATTATATATTTGAGTAAATGAAACATATTTCTCCACCGTCACGTGTTTCATTGTTTTCAGTATCTATTGCAACAGAATTGAATGTAAAATTATTGTCATAGTTTTATTCACTTAAAATTTATACTCTTAACGGTATCATAAATTCAACCAAGATCTTCGAAGAAATTTTATTTTTAAATATCATATGAAATATTGAAACCTGTGGATTGCAGCAAAATGTTGCCATGAAATTGATACATCCACCCGCCCGATCATTTCGTGAGCCTTGTTTCGCTTCATTTGATTTCCATTCGCCGAAAAATTTCCATTCATAAAATTTAGGGCCAAAGTTGAACAATGATGTATTGAAAATTTGACATACGCTAAGATCCGTAAAATAACGGATAAACTCATTCCATGGCATCCTACAAATCAAAAGTAACCCTGACAACGTGCATACATTCAAATCCCTTAGATATATCAGAGAATTAGCAGTAGCGGTAGTAGTTTCAAAGTTCATGCTTTGGTGAGTTTCGAATTAATCGAGACTATTTTGTCAAAAGATTATCCTTTGCTTATAAATACTTCCAGAGTGCTTTGATAGCTCATTATAATCAATAAGGACCAAGTAATTTGAAATAAATCCAGAAATGATTACCAAAATTCGCCGTCCTCCTCAACTGTAATACCGAGCTCCTTTTTATGTGCATCTGTTACCTAAAAAATTCTTTCTGTTTTTCTTAAAATAAGAATTTTTTGAAAAAAATCTGTTCTTATTCAAAGGCAAATAATTCGAAACGGTTCTTAAAGTTGTCCTATGACATAAATTGAGTACTAGTTAGGCATAAATCAAACAATATTGAGACACAGAATGAGATTTATCTCATCACTTTAAAAATGTTGCGAAGGCTGCCATCGATTTAGTTTGGTGAAAATGAAATGGGTTGGGAAATGGCCCAATGTCCAATATACTGCATATTTAAAAGCAACCTGTCAGTAACTGCAATAAAAGTAGCCACACCAGTAATATGTTCATCCCTAAGTTCAGCACTGGAAAATCTTACCTGTTCCCATTCTTGGGATCCATCGGACCAAGGCCCGTTCCACTCCTTCTCACCCCATGGATTCTGCAAACGTATCATCATTTGACGGCCCACCGTAGTGAAAAATAAGAATGAACAACTTTTGGCATTCACTTCGACGAAACGCACTGCTGTGATTGCGTATGCATGACCTTTTACTAGACCACATTCCAAGGTTTCTTCAATCTCTTCTTTATTTTTGGTCTTAAAAAATAATAATCTCAAAAACTTCAACAGTTCGACTTAAACCTCTTTCACCTTAGTTAGATTATTCAGACAGAAATAATATTAAAATTAAAATACACAACAACTCATCAAGTTGAACTCTTTACTGCCAATGATACTTTGATTTTAAATAAAGCAACTAATCATATTCTGACAACAAATTACTAACTGAAATTTCTTTCTTCAAAAATAGAAAAGGAAAAGAGAAGATAAGTTTCGCTTAAACACCTTCTTTCCAACTACCAATGCTTTCTCAACCAGTGCAACTAATGATTCTCGAGAAGACTTATACTATGTCCATATCTGCTTCAATGTCCGAAATGTATATTTCCAATGGACACTTCATCAAATTTTAATTCACAAGTTATTAAAAGCCAAAAAAATAGCTAGAGCAGAGCACAAATAACTGGGAATTCCAACTAACAAGAAAACTTTTATCTTAGTATTATTATTCTCAAACAATTCGGGATCTTGGATAAATCTAAATTCAACCGAAGATCAATCTGATTAAATTGCAAGCTTCTACTTCCTCCTTCTCCAGTAGTTCTTACGGAAAAAATTACTGACCCTTAATTTGCTTTAACTAGTTTAAAATTTCTTTCCACAAAGCCAAGTTTTTCTTACAGGTTTCCAAACAGCTCACGGTGTGATCTCTTACTTGAAAAATAAGGAATATTTTTCAAAATGATCTCAAAATTTCACCATGTGTAACAACAATTGTTCCATCTTGAGTTTCCATGTTTTTGTATTAAAATCGATAAAAAAAGTTAAAGTATTCTAGTTCCAAGGTGAACTCGCTCACTAAACATTGACAACTTCAAAAATTTTTTTATGATGCAAGCAAATCTATTCGTAAAATATTCAAGGATTAAAGTCATTTGTAGCGATGCACCAATGAAACCATTATGTGCAGATATAGTTAATCAGAATAAAATCAGTTACTAATAAATAAGCAGCAACCCTTACGAAATTTCTCTGAAATTCCTTATTTTGCTAATTTTTAACACATAAATGTTTTTAATTGAAGTGACAGCTGAGAAGATATAAAATAAACAGTATATATGCCAAATTTAAGGATTCAAATTGATAAAATAAATTTGAACCAGTTCGTGTCATTTTTATAAAAGAGTGACAGTATGTGTTAGTACAGTCATCATCATACATTGAGCGTACAGCGATTGCAGCGACGATGAGCGCCTGTTGATCAAAAGCTGCTTTGATTGTATGAAACAGTTTTCCAGAGGAATCAGTCTGATCGTTGATCAGCTGTTTCTGGACATTGATTGTTTCTGCCACACCACCTGATATGTCTTCCAGAGCATCAGCTAACTGGCCACCCACCAAATTCTCATAACAACCATACAATCTAAACATAAAATATTTCAGATTTTGCTAATTTACAGTTCACTATACATTTTATTTTTATATCTGTAGAGCCACTGTAAAGGGTGGTAGAAAGGATTAAAATTGTCTACGAAAACTTGATCACAGATGAAACAGGAATGCATGAATTTCGTTCTGATTCAGATGCTGTTATGTGATTAAATTTTAAGGAACTTTCTGGAAGACAAGACAAGTAGTAGTAAATTTTTAAGAATAATCGCTGATGTTGCAAATAGTGCGAAAATGTTCATATTAAATCTCTTTAAATTTTGACTACCATAAAGTTCTCATAACTTTCATCATAAATGAATGAAATTTTGGAGTAGACTAAAGTTGAATTTGTTTTTGTGGATACTTTAGATGTTTTGAAAAATTTTCTTGTTCATTAAAATATACTGTATTTCAAATTTCATCGTAATCGTGTGAACTGCTAGTGGGAAGTGGAGCGGCGATGAATTCAAAATACTTCAAAAATCATTACTATAAACAATATGCAAATTTTGCTGATGTTATTGTAAGAAAACAAAACAAACTTGGCAAAAGCTTTTTCGAGTAAAGCACTCCAAAATTCATTGGATGATTTTGATCGTGCGAATAGTAGCTTTCCATCTCGCGTTGGCAATAAGTCATCAATAACTACTTCAATCCATTTATCGAAACGCCAGAAGCAAAAGCGGAATATACCGCAGTAATTGTTACTGTCCGCCCATTCTTGTCCAATAGCATCCGGCACTACCTGAATTTATTTCGATATGCTTGTTTCATGATTAAGTCAGCTAAGTGTCATATTAGTCCAATAATGCAGTGATTACCATCCCACTAATCCGTGGCTATTTTAATTATTGTAGTTTGTTCCCATTCAGTCTCACTTTTTTCTGCTAGAAAAAGGTCAAAGGTTATGTGGCAGAATCAGACAATATCGAAGACAAACTTTTTTGAGCAGTGCTTGATTGTGTGTAAGCGCGGAACAGGCAGACACGAACCAGCAGTTGCCGAGTATGCCTTGAGTTACGTCATTCGGTGAAGCACCCTCCACAAACAGCTGTGGATTGTCAACGATCTCCTGCAATTGGAGAGATAAAAAGGAGGAGAGGAGAGGGAACAGTTCTAAATTGATTTCCGTCACAAAAAGCCGATATTTCGATCCTGTTGTCCGCTTTTGGATGATGTCAATCAACATGTTGCAGAAAATTCTGAAAATTGAGGTCAAGATTTAAAGTGCATATGAGTTGATGATAATACAAAATGACATCAGATGGAAAGCAATGCTCTCCAATTCCTGGGAATTCTCGTTAGGCGCTGTCCTTTCTCCTACAAAAACTAACGTTTGTGTTCTCAGTGTAAGCAGAACGAATCGATTCTCATTTGAATGATGGATGATTGTAAAAATATGCTCATTGGCGATCAGGTGAGTCGTCACCAATTCGAGAGAAATAGTGGGCAGACGAATCTTGCAAGGAAGGAGAGAAAGGATGGGTGGAGTGATTCCATAATGGAAGTGACAAAAAACAAGCTTACACTTGTTGGAAATTGCTTCATTAAGGGAAGGTGAAGGTGCACCTGAACACCTACCCCCTCTCACTTGTCTTTATTCCTTAATCTTTCCGAAGAATTTCGGGACGAAATAGTAAGCAATTCGAAATTATAGCGCATTGTTATAAACACATCATTCTTTGTTTTCATCACTTCCGAACTTGTCATTTATTGCTTGATTACTAGCTTAGATAGCCTCAAAGATATTGTTAAAGGCCAATAAGATTATGGGAACTCTCGTTTTTCTATCACTAGACATCTGGCCACTTAACTACGTTTGTTTTGCTGTTAAAGGAAAATCATGAACGGTTTGGAAAAAGAAAAAGAAATACTTACACCTGGTCGTTTCCATATGATATCGATTTCCGGATTAACCGGTGTCAGAAACAGAGAATCGTTGGTGGGGGGAAATTGGACATCCACAAAAAGCTGTTTCTTTCGAATACATTCTGCTTTTAAACGTCGATAGTTTTGTGCGTGGAAGTATCGTTTTCCCATAATGGCAACGTTCGCTTCACAAACTACCACTAAATCAGAAAGGTGTGTGTGATTGTGGAGGAACAATGAACACTATAAACAGGCAGGCATCTTTCCGTATGTGCATCACAGAGATTTGCATGTTAACTGCCTGTTTTGTTCGCACACAGAAGGTCACAGTTTTGTAAAAAACATTTGAAAGACATCGACCTCAATTCCTTTTATTCTTTATCACAATTATTCTCTTTTGCAATTTTACTATTAAAACAGTTTTATAGCCGATATATGATACTGGAGTATTGTCCAGTACTGTACTTGGATACCCTACCCCATCTACCTCGGAATTTTGCAATAGTGAGAGGAAGATTTTGTCTACTTCTGCATTTGTTTCAGCGCAACTCAACTTCACCACAACAGCAAACAAGTGCGAACCTTTCAGGGAAATTCCCTTTAGAAAGTACTTAATTAGTGAGTGAAACCTTATCTTTTTCAACCCTTACAATCATTTCTATTCTATAACTTCCAAACATTTTGAATAAATAAGGAACAGATCACATGATAGACACTGTGTTGGCACGAGTGAGTAAGTACTGTGCTATATTCCATCAGCAGGAAAAACAGGTAACAGGTATTCTTTCATGCCCACCGCCTCTTCTCACTGAATATCTTTCGTGTATGATACTTTAACTTCTAAAATACAACAAATTTACTATCGATTTAAAAGAGCAACGTATAAACCTGTTCATACGCAATTCTATTTTGACATTAGAAAGGGTTAAAAAATTTGAAAAATACATTTCATTGAAGTCTAATGATCTCCTACCCTCTACTGTTTAAGACATCTCAGAGAAGTAGTCAGCGAGGTGACAATCAGAATGGTTTTTTCTCCAGTACAGAACTTATCGCGGCTATATTAAGTACTGTGATGTAATTTCGATATATCAGCATTTCCTTCTCTTGGCACAATGTAACGACTCAACCAAAAGGAACGAAAATATTACGGTAATTCTTTTCTCTCGTTTTCATTATAGCACACCGTTAGATGGCTTATACTGGAACAGGTGACGTAAGCAGCTAATGTCAAATATCACTTTGATTTTTTTAAGTACCGTTTTTTAATTATTTAAATCCAAGTGCAACATTTATAATATTATTTTACATTTACAACTTCAACTTTAATATTATTTCTTATTTTGACATTATCTTTGCATTTGGTGGCCGTCATTCAGATAAAAAATTTCTTGTCAAAGTCAGGTAATTCTGCTTTGCTCTTCACCGTCTAATTGTGATGATTTGCACTTTCCTATCATCTTCATACAAGAACTTCAATTTCAAGCATTATTCTTACTGCTGCACATTATCAACAAATCATCACCAATAACGTAGCCAATAGTTATACTACGTCGCGCAATTCTGAATTTCTTTACAGAAAAACAAAACTCAGTGACATCAAAGATCAATGACTTGAGTATATGCAAATCAGATTTCATTATTAATTTAACTAATTTTGATGAAAAATCTAACAGTACAGAGACACGGTTCATATCTTCCACCTCTCATTATTACATTAACTCAGCAAATCTATGTTGGAAATAGATTGGACCACAGATCTTAATAATATTTTAAACTTATTTCAAAGTAAAATCTACTCCAACCAAAAAAATTAAGCCCCTAAAATTTATGTTTTTAAATCTAATTCGGCAATTAAATTTGGTTGATATATATTTCCTTTAAATTCGGTAAAAAATTAATGCTGGAATTGCTCTCAGCATCATTTAGTACAAAAGTAAAATAAGGGTGACTTTTCATAAAATAAATGATAATTTCTTTCCTCATAGCATATGATGGTTTCTTTTTGGAAAAACATTTACATCACTAATGTTACCATATTAATTTTAATTCAGACAATTTAAATTCCATTACATTAATCTCAACGGAGATCACGGTTGTTTTTAGACTCTCATTCAATTAGTGTATAGGATTCACAATTTTCATCTATATAGCTTGGTTTCATTTTCTAGCTTGAAACTACGGACTAACGGTAAAATGCGCGACGACAATCTCAATGAATTTAGGTCACTATATTCAAATCTTCAGATCTTTAAACAAAATTTAAAGTAATGAAATTTAAAAAGAAGAACCTTTAGCAAAAGCAGAATCGCTATGAGAAATGATTAGAATTGTTACTCGAACACTTGCAATATAAAAGAAATTTTCCTCAAAAGGAATATCATGTTCTAAGAATAGTGCATTTATAAAAACAAAAATGGTCTAGATGACAAAATTCATGAAATTATCCTTTCTTGCTTTACCGTCTTCACGTTATATGACATTCAGCAAAATCACCAATACTGTCTATTTACTGTCCATTTACAGTTAAGTTATTTCATCCACCACCAACATGGACGTTATTCTCCTTGCAGTTTTCTTTCTTGAACTTTTATGACTGCCTTAACAATAATATTTTAATATAGAGTTTTAGTCATCTAAATCAGCAAATGACAGTGTGATGCCGTGTTAATGCATTCTATTCAAGAACATAAAAAGACGAATGCATTTGTAGTGACATCCGAATTTTCAACAGAAGCTTTTTAAGACATTCACTTCGTTTTATCTACTGAAGCTGCGGCACTAGATTTAAATTTCCTGACATATACATCCGGAATGGGTCGTGCCATTCCTCTGAGTAGCTCCACCGTACTTTGACCTTGTTTTTTATATTCATATTCGATCATCTGTCGCCAAAATGACATATTTGGCGATATGAATGGCCTTTTATCCAATACGTCGTAATATGCTTCTCTCAAGCTTAACCCTTCGTTAAGTACCAAAGACATTATACATAGCGATGAAGAACGGCTAATTCCAGCTGCACAATAAATTAATGTTTTTCCACCCTGCAAAAACTTTTTTTTGATAGCAATTTTAATTTTCCTTCTAAAATTCCAACTATATTTCACCCATTACCAACATAGACATTATTCTTTTTGCGGTTTCCTTCTTTGAACTTTTATGATCCTTAACAATTATATCTAATGTAGAATTTTAGTCATTTAAACCGGCTATCAAATGATATTTTTTGGAATCCTCACAAATATGCCTCTCAAATCTTAGAAGTACGCAATTGTTACTGTCATTAATATTTCTCGTTAATATATATTAAATATACATTTCTCGTAAATAAATATATAATATATATTTTATCATTAACATTTCTTGTGAATATAAATAAAACAAATCGTAAATATATATAACATAACCAAATTCTGTAAAGGTCAAAATTAAGTAAATATCGATATCAAATTATTTTGAAATCCGAAAAACATATTTCGTCTGAAAACTACACTGTAACCTTTTTCTGTGCATTCCGAATAAACTGTGCAGTACTTTCAAAGTGGGGAATAAGGTTGGCGATCAATGAATCATCTATCATAATATCCAGAAATTCGATTCCTTCAAAATGCGGGTTATTCGGAAGATTAGTCGCGTCAATTATATGTGTTATTCCAAGATCTCGTAGTTTCTGGAATGAATCTATGGAAATATTTGAAGAAGCACTTAAAAAGATATCAATTTTCTAATGCGTCGAGTATTGAAACAGTTCCGTATCACTGCATTAATCAATACATCGTTTTAAAAAAAATGTAATTTCTAAATCATAAACCTATTTTTTAAATCTTAGCAAGCTGAGGTGAAATATCCCGTGCATTTCTTTCAAATTGAAATTTGCTGATAGTAAATATCCAAAAATCTTTAGTTGTAGCAAAAGTCACTGTTTGCTTATTTATATTAAAAAAAAAAACTTTTCAATTTTAAACTTCAAACAAGAAAAACTTAAGGACAACTCTAAATCACATTCCAAAGTTCTTTGTACTATTTCAGATTTTAAATTGATCTCCATCCAGCATGATCACAATTTCCCTCTCAACATTCAGACTAATTATTGCTTCTTCTTTTAGTCCAAAGACATCCCGATAACCTGACTTGTTTTATTTCTTTTTTCTACATCCCACAATAAGCAGTTAGGTCAGAATGTAACTGTTGAATTATGTGTGAAAATTTTTCTCAATCTCTATTCAGAAAAACTCAATCATGTAATATAGCTAATCGTATAATTTTGTGATAATGTAATGAATCCAATGTCAAAATAATCAGTTGAAAAAAAATTTTCCGATTAGACGCATCCGTTGGAAATTTCCAAAACTACTCGATGTTTCGCTTTTGGTAATATCTTCTGGGTTTCACGAACAAACACCTACCTTCTCCGTAATACAGCCAAAACCACTTAAGTAAAGATAAGGTCGAACTTCCGAAATATCGCACAATTTCAGGGTAACCATCGACTAATGTGGTTCCGTAGTGTGTCCCTTACACACATAACATATCACCCAAACAGTAGGTTTTAATTTCGTTTTGTTTTTTGTGCAGTATTTGTTCAAGAGCCTTTGACCTGAAAATGTCAAAACAAAAACATGTATATTTATTGTTTCGATTATGTAATGAACGGGAATCATAAGAGATTCACACTGTGCTAAATCAGCTATCAAATCATTCTAACAGCAAATAGCAATAAGCGGAACTGTTTAGATCGAAAGAATAAAAGAGGCAGAGAGATATGAAAAAAGGAAGACTGCTAGTCACATGGATCATAAACACCAAACTGTTGTAAAATGAAATGAGTTGGCATCAAGTCATGGATGAGAAATTTTTTGAGATTTAGAGAAACTGATTGAAAAATATCTCTAAAAGCCTTCTTTTCTCAAACAAAGAAAGCAATCCTTTCACGCCTATCTAATGAGTAACTGGAAATTTTCTAAAGATATTCGAGAAAAATAGTAAACATTTTATGAACAATTCTTTGCCAATTCCTTGATTTTCCTTCTCCAAAAAATAGACAATTGGAAAGTCTTTACAGATCAATTACTCATTCTTCAGTATTACACTATCACTCTGAACTTGGTTATAATTTCCTTATATTCGTGTCCACAAGATAAAAGCTATAGGATGATCAACTTTCTCCCTTTATTTATTGTCAATACCATTCACAAGCATAGATAACTACACCATTTAGTGGTCTTGTACTAGAAAGATCTGCTATGACACTCACGCAGGTTTTTTAATTAGATAGATTAGCAAGGTCACGAGAATACATACAAGGGCAAAAGACAAAAGAAACTGTAACTTCCAATTATCAAACACCAAAAAGTAATCCGAATAACACAATAATTAATCAAACACCCACTACTTCACACCACTTACCAAAAAAAGAAAAATAAAAACACAAATAACAAACCTTCCACAAACAACATAATCCAAAACATAAAAATAAAATATGAAATCCAAAAACAAAAAATAGCATAAAACAAACGAGTAATAATGGACGAGAAATTTTTTGAGGTTTAGAGAAAAAAATTAGAAATTATGAATATTTGAACATCAGTAACGCTAACTATGTCCCAAAGCAGTGTATTCTCAACTTTTTCTCCAATACAGAGAAAGAAGTCAAGAAGAGCTTTTCTATACATGACGTTGGAATCCGATGGTACATCTCACATCCATGTGTTTATGCATTCATCTAATTATCAGATTACAATCTGAATCTAGTAAACTTCAATCTTCGTACTTGCACAGATGTGGAAATTGGTTTGGAAGAAATATTAATATTATGCTTGGCAACCCAATTCAAATGGTACATTTACATTGAAATTACCTTTTGATAAAAGTAAGATGGACCAGTTTCATTAAGAAATGTAAGAGTAGAGATATAAAATGGATGATGGTCAACATAACTCTGTCTGCGGTAATGAAGATGGATCTCTCTCGGTCTCTTCTGATTGAAATTTCAAAGCAGATCGTTTAAGGGATTAAAGTTTCTGAATAAAGCGAAACTTTTTCAGAACATGACCAAGAGGAGAAGTATTGTTGGGGATGGGAAGAAGTCAACTGTTAGTGCCGCTGAGAAAGGGATCAGGGGAGAAATTGAGGGAGAGATCAATATCGCCAAGGATGAGAGGAGTAAGAAACAAGCGAAGCACAGTTGGAACTAATTGATGGATAAGCCAATTGTTGAAATCGTCTCCACTCCTACCAGTGCTGCATTTCATTCAACCTGCGTTCAAAGATCTCTTTACCTCTTTTACCGACGGGCACGACCAGCAAGGCGCACAACAACACAAACTCGTCAACTCTCGGACGGAACACGACGTGTGGTTCTCCGCGGCGCGGCCTACGTGAATTCGTTGAAAGTTTGGCGTTTAGGGCCCTTTGTGATGTGGTGAAATTGAGTTTTTAAAATATATGATTTAGTTGGTGGAACAGCAGTGCGAGTTAAGCGTGACACGTTACGGTTGCATGTCGGTTACGTTGCAGACGACATTGGGCGACATCAAAATCGAATTGTACTGCGACTTATGTCCGAAGACCTGTGAAGTAAGTACTGTTTTCTGGTTATAAGGGTGTAGTGATGTTGCACACTTTTTCACGCTTCATATTTCTTTTTCAAGAAGATTGGAAGTTTTGAAAGCAAAAACTACGGACGACTTTGTTATAGGCAAAGATTATCACACGCCGTGGTTGCATATAATTCACTGCATTCGCTTAACATGTAATCAGTATGCGACTCTCTAATACTGTGGCATTATATTGAGAAGTCACTTTTAGAGTTCCATCTGACTTGTTTCAGCGCTTTTTATTTTTTGGTATTTAATTATAATTTTGCAGAATTTCTTGGCATTGTGTGCAAGCGGTTACTACGACAACTGCATTTTTCATCGTAATATCAAAGATTTTATGGTACAAACTGGTGATCCAACTGGAACAGGTAAAGGAGGTGATAGTATTTGGGGTGGCCCGATTGAAGACGAATTAAATACTGCTTTGAAGGTATCTTTTTTGCTATGAAAGACTCTTATGTTGTTTATTTGTTTTCATGTCGGTTTCATTTCAGTAAACTGTGATAGTTTTCGTAAAGTTTCTTAAATGGCTTAATTTTTGAGCTATAATAAAAAGCATGCTTTTTACATCCCATTGTAGCACGACGCCAGGGGCGTTGTGTCTATGGCTGGTAACGGACCAAATACAAGTCGATCACAATTCTTTATTACGTACGCAAAGCATCCAACGCTGGACTTAAAATATACTATTTTTGGACGGTTTGTTTTGCTTTTATTCTTGTAATCATCACTTTTTGTAAAAAACTATGCTTATATTTTATATTTAAGATACAGTCTTTCCTCTTACTTTATCTGTGCGGTAAACTATAGTTAAAAATCCATATGCTCTGCAGTGTAATAGACGGATTTGACATACTGGACGAGTTGGAGAAAGTTAAAGTTGATGCTAAATATCGACCAGTTGTTGAACAAAAAATTCGGAATGTTATCATCCATGCTAATCCGATTGCTGAAATGGCGACCAGTTCCTAAAACCGGTTGTTTGAGTTGCATTTCAACACACAGTATTGTACATCATCGTTTTATTTTCGCTTCTTCAAGGCTGATCAGAAAAAAATTAGCAAGTTTTTATCTCACAAATAGGATTGTGTTACGGCATTTAACCGATGCAAAGGATGAGGAGCTGTTGAGATCCGATGAAAGGTATCCGATCGAAAGAGAAAAGCAAATGGATTTGGAGAGAATTCGAGAAATGCAAAAGTATTTTGAGCAATACGCTGAAGAGTATATCGAAACGGAAACTGAGTCGCAAACTTCATACGAAATTATAATGAAATCGGGTATGTACTGTCTAGCTTTTCATCTGTAATTAGTCATCTCAACATCGATTCAACATTTGAGAAAGAATGTTATTAATGATTCTTTCGTTTTCGTTCACTATAATTGTATATTTAATTTTTTAATACGAAAAGATTATGCTATTTCTAATTTCTAAATTCTCTTTAACTATTTTACTTATTGCAGATCGCTTACGCCAACGTCTTGAACCTCTGCTAAACTTTGAGCAAGGTTCTTCATCAAGTCTGTTTAGTGTGAGAGAGATTGTGAACATATTGCGAGCAGAGCGCGCCGAAGATATTATTTGTATCAAAGTGCCTGTCAGTGACATACGTGATAGATATGTTGTTATTTGTACACCTCATAATATTAGACATGGTGAGGCCATGGTACTTGCTATACGGAAATGTTTCAAACTTAAGACTAATCATCAGGTTTGTTATGTTGTATTGTGAACTAACGTTATGCGATAATTTTATACAGTCTAAATAAGGATTAATTTCGCGAGATTTTTTGAAATAATTTTAATGAAGAATTAAATATTTTTGTTTTTCTATCTCTCTTCATTTAAATAATGATTTTACGCACATTTAAAGGTAATAGGGAACTTTTAGAAGATGCATTTTTTGATAATGGCTGTAATAAGTACCGTTTCTATCTGCGTTGTCAGTTGGTCAGTTGATCTTTGTCTGAATGATAGTATAATTTATTCACATCGATGTTTTTTTCCGAGATTCTGAAAGGAGAAATTTTCATTTTAAGGTGCAGCCACCGAAAAAAGCGAAAGTTGGTCGATGGTTGTGTTATAGTTTCGAAGATATATCTATACACATAATGACTCGTGAGGCGCGATTCAAATATGATCTTGAAAGCCTTTGGGGCATTGGATGGACGGAAACGTTAGAAGATGAAGTCAATATTTCAAATCCAGAATTTTCGATGCCTGCTATTAATTAGACTTTTTTTGTATTGTCGTTTTTTTCACTTGTTATATGTTGATAAACAAATAAATTTGAGCAGAAACTGTTTTGTTTCATTTGAATGTGAAAAATACAGAGCTCGAATGTGAAAAATACAAAAATACATTTCTCGTGTCACTCCAGATGTTAAGGGAAGAAAGTAGAACTGTAACTGTTAAAACTATAGTTTATATATCGTTCCGATTTCAGTGGAGATATTTTACCCATATTAATTTTGAATCTTCTAAATCTGCTTAGTTTGTGACTTTCTGGGATTTTACGATGAAAAAGAGACGAAACACAACATTATTAATGTGACAGTGGAAGGAATCCTTTTGCTTGTTTGAATTGCACTTTGGTATACTTTGGTATATGTGAGCTTTCGAGTTTGGAGTTCATCAGTTGAAATGTACATTGGCATTAGATAAGGACTTAACGAAATAAGCATCAAAGCTTCATTTACAAACGATATAAAAACCAGGAATGTACTTTCTATTCTGACAATCACTTCATTTTTCAAGTAATGAAAAATAAATCTGTTTTGTCTGACTAAGCTTGAAATTTATAATTATTGGCAAATTATTGAAGCTTTTTTGATATCGTTGATGAAATTCGTTTTCTCAAGAAATTGTTACCATAACGAACTGTCTGCTAACTTCGCAAATTAAAACGTTTGCTTTATCAGCTTGTCGATGAATATTCTTGACAAACGCAACGAGGACGATATGCAATATGATAAGTTAAATACTAATTTCAGCTGTTTATATCGCCTGTGAATCTCACTGTATCAAATAAAACAGTATCAGGACCTCTTGGTTCTGATACTGTTTTATTTGTTGTATTCATCTCTTCCATCAGTGATATCCAATCTTAGGCAGATGCTTTTGATTCTTTTATTTTTCATCAACTCATTTAATTTTATTTTGAATACTTCTTTGGGAAAAGATGAATGACAGATGCGAAGAATGTTTGGTCTCGTTGCACGTCAGCAATCATGTGGTGGTTGAAAAACACGGAAATGTTCTCCTCCTTCTCACTGTTTTAGCATCATTTCTATCTCGATCCACGCTGTTATTGAAACATAAATTGAAGCATAGTGAAGTGTGTAAAGTATTTGAATCATTCTTTGTATTGAAAAGTGTTTTTCAAAGAAGTTCCAGAGTTGTGTTAAATTCAGGAAAAGATAGAGCGGGAGAAAGAAATGAAATGTTCGTGGAATTGTATTAATTCTAAAATTTTATTGTATATAACAGAAGTAATAGCTATGCAGTCGTATTTTCATACACAAAAAGAAGAATGGGTAACAAAATGAAATGTGAAAAATCAGTAAACAAAAGAATTGAACAGTTCGAATATGTTTGCATTGCTTACAGTTCATTGTTTAGCCATTAGTAGTAAAGGGTTTGTTTTTGTTTAGTCTTTACTACTACTTCATTGTTTAGCCTTTACTATTAACTAAACTTGGGAATTTTTAAATTATTGTTATTCCTTTCATTGTAAGAGAAAGATTATTCCTAAAATTCCCACTCATGATAATGTATCTGTTGAAGCAATTTCGAGAAACAAATATCATCGTTAATGTTTCTTTACTATCGAGCAATTATAATTCTAATCGAGTCTCAGTTTTTGTATTTATACAAACAAGAGAAAAAGAGTAGAGGGAAGGATTGTTCGAATGGGAGAGAGAATGGTCGTTTGGCTATGGCGGGGATTTCAGAAGTTTGTGCCCTTATTGTGTTTTGAATGAGAAATTGGAAAGATATCGGTTGGAACGCTTCCATTTAATGCCATATTGAGTGGAATATCGATTGGGACGCTCTCATTTATTGCTATACTACTGATTGTGCGGTTTTAACGAATTTAAATGAGATATTTGGAACTTTTTATATACAAAATGATATATTTTTGACTTTATAATAACAAAGCTCGCTATTGAAATCATGACGCTTAGCTTCTACGTAGACGTTGTACTCGTGCGTGTGTTCAACGAAAAAGCCTCAAAGGATTATAGACGAGTTCGTACATCACGATCGTTTAAACCAACCCGCATCATTGAAGTCTCCAAATACTCATCCATCATTTTGTACTTCGGATGACTGAACGAATGAATATCATATAATCGGTGATAAGGGAAAGATATGTGATCCCATTTATAAGCGTAACATAAATCATGTCATTTATGTACCAGACCATATGATATTGTAATTGAACTGCCATTTTAATTGAATGGTAATCTCTCAACTTCGCTATTATTCGCGAAAGGGAAAGTATCTGAAATTTTTAGAATAATTTTTCCAGAAAAAAACTCCCTTTAGGAATTTTTTGTTGTGCTTGGCAGGCACTGTAATATTTGTATCATTGGTATAATATGCGGAAAAACTGGAAGGAATCGCAACAACATTGTTAGTATACCACTCACCCTCTGATGTAATGGCAGCGGTTGGTACCATCGTCCCCTACTCGTTTACAGTACCATGTACGGATCTGTCTGCATAGCACATTGCATTGTAATTTTATTATTGGAAACTGAAAAGTTCTTCATTTAATAAGCGGGTGCATCTCTCGAACCTGTCACTATTTTTGTGAATAGTCTTTTCAAGTGATATAACGTCAGTGTACCTTTGGTGGGAAGTTTATGTGCCGTGGACTGTTGCTCTTCCTCTGTTGGTAATTTTACCGTGTTTTATTCTCATATAAAAGCCCGAGGGAAATTACCAAGGAAGCGCTGTTGAAGAAGTACTGTGCTATTCTGAGCTATTCAACCTTCAAAAACAAGAATTCTTTATTTTCCACTTCGTTTTTTTCTTTTCGAATCTAATCTAATCCGCAGTATAGCATGGATTCAGACATTTTTTTAGAGACCCTATTATTGAGATATTTATTATTGGTAACAGAAATTTGCATATTTCTCTTAATCATTTACATAAAGCGAAAGTTTTCCAAGTTATGCTGAAATAAAATATTTGAAATTTCACAAAAATAAAATTAAATTAAAAAGTAAACTTCGAGAATCCAGAATATGCAATGGTTGGTCAAACTAATGATTTAAGGTTGACGTGAAGCGTGCAAACAGGGATCAAATTACAAAGAAAGCATTAATGCAGCATTTTCTCGAAATGGTTTCGATTTTTTGAAATATTTCGAAGTTTGAAATGATCATAGTGAACTTGGAAAAGATAGATAGACGACCTCAATTATTTCATACTGGACTTGCCTCTCGTATAAAGATCAATGGACAATCATGTCTGTCAGTTGCACTAATTTGTTATAATATGTTTCATTTCGAATTGACATCCAAAAATCAGTTCTACTTTTAATTTTTGAATTTTGATGGTTTGTTATTATTGCTTGTTTATTTAGTCGAAGCTATCTTCTGAATTACTTGCTCCCATGGATGCAATTATAATTTACTTCCATCAAAAATTACTCCCGCTTTCTTCCTTACTTTTTCTACTCTAACTCTATCTGCAATTTATCTTCTAGTTTAGGCGCTCTTGTCTATTTCTTATTTTCTTCTTGAACACGTAAGTTTCGTCAAAGATGTGAAGATTACTGTTTTCGCCAAACTCACTACTGCAACTGCATACGGGGAGAAGAGTTCTGTTGAGAGGACTGCAATGAATAGCATTTTTGTTCCAATGCAATAAAGCACAGATGTTAAAAAGGCATAAAATATCTCCTAAAAGTATGACCCAATTTTAAAATACCTTAAAGACAAGTTTAATATCATCTACAAATTTGTTGTTTCACCAATTACACAATCACGCATATGTCTAAAGTTGCCCTCACTTTATGTAAACAACTAAAGATTATTTACTGCAAAAGTTATACAAATGCCGAGGAACACTGAGGCAATTTCTCTTCTCGATTTTTGGTCGTTATTCAGTTTTATATTTAGCGTTTCAAATTTTTTAATTATTGTAATTTGTGAAGTCATTGAGGGATGAAATTACTCCGCACGCTTACTGTCGTACACTTAACTTTTTTATTATACATATGCATTCCGTTCGAGATTTACAGATTGAACGGTGATGGTTCGTATAAAGGAAGCAATAGTAAGGAGGAAATTATCACGTCTCATTTATGCTTTATTCATGAAGTTATTTCTTTAAATGGCAATATCGACTATTCATTTCACGTTGACTTTGATAAAAATTGAAATATTCGCCGGTTATGCAAATTAAAATACTCATCGATTTGTTAAACTAACGAGAGATGGTGAAGAGGTAGTCGATTTAGGCAGACAGAAATGTGAATCTTTGGATGATGAATGCAATTTTTCATCTTTTCTGCTAACAAGGCACTTGAATGACAGATAGCTCTTTTGAGAGGACACAATAAATGAACGTTTTCGACTTGCATCAGCGCAGGAAAAAAAAGTGCGATGCATATAAGAAACAAATTTCGCTTCTTTGTATAATCCGATAGTGATGAATAGGAGGGAGATTGTGTGCGGCGCAATGGAGTGCGGAACTGTTTCATTGTATCTGATCTGCAAGGTAATTAGCGCAATTGACAAAGAAGAGAAGACAGATTAATTATCTTTATGGATTGAATGTATCGCACCATGGATGAAGCATTCACTCAGTTCAATATAATCCATCTTCTGCTCTCTCTCACTGATGAAATACTGAGGACGTGTTCTCGCGGAATGTTCGTTAAGAATGCAATTCGATTTCGGATATTCATGGAAATGTACTGCTGAACGACATGTAAAACCGAACATTTCCTGCAAACTCACAATTTTCACCCTAATCTTGCAGCTGGTCATTTTAGGAATTTCATTTCAACTTCCTTATTTATCGAGCATTTGGTATGCGATCAACAATTCGTTGCTATGTTTCGAAATGTATTGACAACTTAGACACATCAATGCAGTAGACTGTAGAAAGAACAACCTTTGATAACATATCTTGAAAAAGTGAAGTGATCACCATTATTTGGTATTGCTTCGGTTGTTACGTCAGAAATTAAGCTTCGCAGGTGATGCAAAATCTTATCAAATTTTCAACATATTCAGACGTACCAATGATCGTAAACATGTTTCGATACAGTAATTATGCGATGGAGCGTCGATCACAACGGTTGCGTGTCCAACAAGTACGTGCTGAGGTACGCGACGTAAAATTACATCACACTTCCTACCAACCATATCTATGAAAATTTTTTTTAGTATCTGATATAGGTTCTTCACAGATTCGAAATCTGATAATTACCTGAAAGTTCGATGTTTCCATTAAACTTTCATGGCTCGCGGCTAGCTTTAGATTAAAAATGTAATTTCAATCTTATAAATTAAAACTCCTGCAAAACCTATATTTGCATTCCTAAAGCTTTCTGAGTATCGAGCTATTGAGAACCTTAATCAGCCCACTCAGTAGATGCTAAATTTTTACCGGATATACAGATCTTCTCGAAATAGATCATATTTTTGTTCGGAATGAACTTAGCATTTCCAGTTGGAGTAACCGATGCATTGAATAAAATGCATCGTTTATTGACCCGATCGTATTGAGCACTGTGACACTCGATCGGTAAAAGATTTCCACCGCTCAGCTAGAAAGCAGAATTAAAATGGATAAATTCTAAAAATGAACAAAATCACCGCCGTTCAGAGTCACGGGATGGCCATAGAAAACAATTAAGAGGATTTGCATCTTAACAATGAATGCTACCTTATTTTTCCTGCATATATATACGCATACTTCAGGTGTACGTGTTTGCAATGTTGTCAAACTTTCAGCTACCACTTCGATACCATCGATCACTTCAATATAAGCCGAAAAACCGGATGTGCAATCTGTTGAAATAGAATACTACTGCGATATGAGGTTAAAATCTGTTAATACAATAAAAGCTACCATTCTCTTCTTCTTTTTACGACAAGAAATGTTGGACAAATGGAATTAAGTAAAAAGTAAGAATTAAGTAATTTTTACTTCTTATTCTGAGCTATTTCTTCGTTCATTCATCCCGAGATTGTTATCATTTCTACAGTAATGGTAAGAATGATCGTCGCTATTTATCAAATATACCGGATAGATTGGTGGAGGAATACGAAGGTGTTGACGCGTCTAACTTGCGTGTATCGATTGTAACGTTTGTTTTAATCTGTTGAACTACTAATTTATCACCTGGTATCAGGGGCTTTCTATGATCACTCATCATAGGGACATTGCTGTGAGCTGGCTTGGAAGTAACATTTCCACTTGAGTGACCCGACTGCTCCAATCTGCAGCCATCATTTAAGAGTAAGAGAAAGCCAATAGCTGGTGATATGGATGGTACGCATGATTTCATCCTGAAATACAGTTCGATTTTTGTTTCCTATTATAATTATTTGATTACGACTGCATTTTTGATACTGATGTGTTGTCAGCACAAGAACTCGCATTGGTGACGAGAAAGACGATTAATATAATTGATTTTATAGAAGGACAATGGAAATGAACTAACGCTAAATTATTGCTTTTCCTCATGATCCCAATCTCCATACTTGTAATGTGATGTTCTGAAATTGCATATGAATTATTTATAACATTATTTAATACAAATGCAATATTGGCAAAAGCCATTAATTAAAAAATGATAACAAAAGATCAGGAAACTTTAATCAGAACTGTTTCTGCTAAAGGTTATGGTGATCTCTTCAAAAACATCAGTTACGAATGTATTTTTTCGTGTTGATGAATTTCTAAGAATTGAAAAATTGAAATTCACCTTTTTGTCGTGAATGCTTTCTTTGCAACGCAACCACAATATTATACAACTTGCATTCCCTTCTGAAATAACCATTCATCAGGAAGAACTTCCAGTAAGCTATCATTTGACAGCTATGCATCATAACCGGAAGCGGTATTAGAATTTTCACTAGAAGAAAAATGCATCCGTAATTAAAATAAACCGCAAATGATGGAAATAAGGGGTGCTGGATCTCTTCTAGGTCACGGATATATTCATCAGCTTTAGAATCGTTTTTAATACTCTTCAAGATCCGCTTAATAGTCAGAAAACACGAATAACTGTCGAATGGAATCCTATGAAATGAGAAATTAAAGTCCTGAATTTTTGAATGACCTTATTCTGTTATACTGACATGTTTGGGCCGACATTTCCAAGCACAGATCACTACATTGGTGCTCGTTGGGCAGAATACGTTGCTCGTACGCAATAGCACACGTAATTTGCAAATTGGGATATGCTTGAATGCATAAATCAGATTGCTTATCTAAAATAAAATAGGAATAGCCTTCGTTTTATTATATTACATACGGTCTTCATGAAACGGCTAATAAAAATTATTGCTGTTTCAAACTAAAGTGAAGAAATATTGGTGCATATGAAAATTAGTGAAGAACAAATACAAATACAGAACTAAAAGAGTGGGAGATATTTTCGAAAAAAAAACATGATCGAGAGATTTTTATGAAAAAAATTGATCGCTCTTTAAACGAATTGAAAAAGCGTGAAATATTAATGAAGAAGAAAGCTGCTCAGAAGGAGAAATTAATGGAACTGTCTTTTCTTCTCACGTCATAACGTCAAAAACATCTTTCAATGGCTAGAAAAGAACAAAGGAGAAATGAATTAAAATGACCTTACCGGCAAAAGTGTTCACAGCGAGAAATAGGAGCAGTAGGAGAAATGGAAGAATCATAACAGAGTATGGTATGAATACTGTTGGACTGTGCATTGTAATACATTTTAGGTTAATCTGGGCTTACTCCATTTTCGAGAATAAAAAAAGTGGAGAGAAGAAAGGAAGTGGAAGGGATTCGAAGAGACGAGAGTATAGCATGTCTGAGAAGGGAGTAGATGACCCGAGAATTAAGAGAAAGGTAAAGATGGGCAGGCTTGGCTGAAATGAAGTGCAATTCCAGTGAATTTTTTCACTTTCTGATTCCATTGACGAAGGATAATTTCATTTTTTGAGAGTCCCTCAGAGTAAGTAATTTTTAAAATGAATTGAAATGTGTGATTGTAAGACAGATTTTGTGTGCAACAGGGAGAGGTGCAGGACAGTTCAGGCAAACAGGAGGAGAGGGTGAGATTAAGAAGGTTTGGAGGGAGGAAGAGAGGAAGGGGGAATGTCCTTTTCTCAAACTTTGAAAATTTAAATTTGGATTATAATAAATTTTCCCAGTGTTATCAGTTCATCACTTATAAAATTCTTCCTTTGATTTTTAAAAACAGTTTTTTCATCGATTCAGTGACTTTATTTTTACAACTTCTTAGTTCATAAGTATACATTTTTTCGCCAATAAAATAAAAATTCAAAATAGAAGAAAATAAAAGTCAACAGCAGTGTTTCATTAAAAATAGGACATTTTATCTAAAACAAAGAAACTTCAACCCATCCATTCGAAATCAAAGAATAGAAAATTCTCGGTCAGGTTTAACTTTTGAAACAAGCAGCTTTACTACTTTCAAACAAATGTCTTTCGAACTTTTCATAAGTCTAAAATTTATTCGTTCCAACAATCTTCGGATGAACCATTTCTCTAAGAAGCTAAGCATTGTGAACACGGTCGCAAGAAACCATGGCATTGAATGAATTTGAAAATTAATTATCAGAATTAGATTGTGAACATTGGAGAGCACTAATCAAGACACACTACTGCGTACTACTGCGCTTTTCTCTTCCTTTCTATGGCAACTTCAAAAAAGAAACAATAAAAAGAGCAGAAGAGTATTTTTCTTTCTACAGGTGAATCCCATTATAATAAGGGTCGGGACTGCTGATCTATCTGAGAGGGAAGACGAACGCACTCAATTTCTACTTTTCAGTTCAGAAATATTGTCGGATATAAATTACCGAATGAAACGATTCCTTCGAAACCAGTGGAAGAAGAAAAGGATTTGGTAATTGTCATTTTGTCAACTTTTTCTCATTCCTCTCATTGGCACTCAGCGAAGAGTGAAATGAAGCACAGACCTATTTCACATCTTTAACAGAGCTCGTATCGATTATCTTTGAATTTTCAGGAGTTATTAATAATTTATGACCCGCATTTTTTTCCCATAGGTAAGCCTTCAGTCCCTTCCAGTCTTCAGTGACAGTCAACAAAAGACTATTTGCGCCTCGATCCATCCCTTAAGCGAATCGTGCATGCTCTCTCGATGGACTATTACTTGACCCCGCTTTCTTGACCCGACCCTCGACCCTGCATTCCCAGATTGTCCTTGTATTCATTCCTCTCCTCAATACCTTTCTTTCCTCACAGCATACTTTTTTAAAAAGCAAGGCCTGAAAAAAATAAACAAAGCGAATAGTAGTGAGTTATGTTGCCACCAGTTCTCATCACTTTTTGTGCATTACAAAATAAGATAAACTTAGCTGTGGAAGTTTTTGTGTCCCACGACAATCACTTCATTCATTGAACTTTCTTCTTTTTCAACTTATCACAAGTTACTTGCATCAAAGCTCACGTGAACTTTTCTTTGATTAGCATCCAACTAACACTTCAGTTGTTCTCTACTTCGTCAAAGGTAAATTCTTCTAGGTATGTGTATAATTTCGAGGTCGGAATGTTTGATCAAGTGCGTTATTGTTTTATTTATTCTTCCTAATATGAGAGCGACGCACATGGCCTAAATTTATCACATGTTGTGCTGTCACGTAACATAGTTGAATGTTTCATAGACCATCTAAATTGAAGATCTTTCGATCAGCTGTTTTATAATTACAGAAAATTTCATTTTGTTTTGCTTCAGAAAGGAGCATTCATTTGAACAGTTTTTACTTTTGACACCGTCGAAGATGACATCATTACATCCACATTTTAAACTAGCATTTTATACCTCGGATATCCACAATCTTCCTTGTCACTAAGCCTTGCACATTCTTCAGTCTATTATTGGGTCTCCATACCACATTCCAGTTTTGTCTTCGAAAGGGAAAGGATTAACTTTTGCAGTGCTACTTTTTTTTCTGCATACATACACAAATAGGAATGAGTGAGGACAGGTAAGTTTCCTCATAGAATTCTTTTTCTTTGCATCCAATGATCTGCACATTTTTTCTTAAATTATATCAATTCTCCTGGACAATGACCGTTATATTTCTTTTCTTTTCTTAACCACTCGATTTCAATTTTTTTGCTCCCTTTAACGGAAATGGCCCAGATAATGTCTTTTGCTGCCCTACCTTTCCTCCAGTTACTATACTTGTCCCTACTAGATCCATGGGTAACTGCCCTGTTGCAGTCATTTGGTACTGCTGATGAATTTTCTCTCGCTTATGGCCCCTGTGCTATAATTCATCCACAATTACCTTTTCTTCCTTATCAGGCCGTTTTTCTATCTGTTTTTCAGCTAATTCTGTTGACTTGAAACGGAAGTTATGAATTCATACAATCTCATTACAATGATGGGTGGTTACAAATAACATCTATTAAGCCCTGAGAAATTTCCGGATCACGAATATTCGTATCACACAACTTAAGATTTGGCACCAATTTCAGGAGAAATCGTTCAGCAGATAAACAGCTAACATCAAACAACACTTTCAAATATTTCTGTCCTACTTCTGGTGTCTCTCTGCTCGGATCGTAAATTCGTAATGAGACCTGAGAATTAGTGCTTCATAGGTTTCTTTTCTAAACTAACGAGAGATCAACTCAGTAATATAATCCCACCATGTTCCACCTCGCCATATAATATTGCAAAAGGTAGGGAAAATAAAGAAAGGATGGGAGACACTTCCCGAAGTTTCGGGAATACAACAGATTGAAGGAGACAGCTGAGAGCTTTTCTGCACAGATAATTTGACAGATAGCCTCTTTCTTCCTAGCATCTCCATGATGTAAATTTAATTCTTCTGCAGAAATGAAACCAACTCTGCGCTCAGTTCCAGAACCCTCTCGCTCTTTCTCCTTCCGCAGCATAACTATTTGATTGTCCGATCACAGAACTAATTTGACTCACCTGATCACTGATCATCATTAGCTCGGTAGGAAACACTGTCTGATTAATCCTCCCATGGTTGCACTCAAAAATTTTTCTGTCAGTATTGAATTTCAGAATTTTAAACTTAGCACAATTTTCTTCAAAAAAGATTTCTAATATATTAAAATTCTCGAAGAAATAATTTTTGTTGTTTCTAGAATTAAACTAATTGAGCGAAAATTTAGCTCAGTTATAGAGTCTCAATACACAATATTATGTCTAATTTCAAACAGCTTATTCACTTCTCAGGCCTTGCGCCTGCACCATGACTTTCCCAAAATTCGAATGAGGAAGAAGTACAGATTCCTAAATATTTTGGTAAAGGAAGTCAGATTTACACTTTGAATATCAGTAAAATGAAATCTAATCGAGAATCTTTACACAATAGGAAAATCTCTCTTTTCAAGTATTAAAACTGAAAGCATGCTAAATCCTTTCTTTTGCCTATAGGAACCTTTGAGAGTAGATGAGTAATTTAGGAAAGAAGGGAGAGGGAGAGAGAAAGAGAGGGAAGGAAGAAGAAGGAAGCGCAAATGGACGGAAATCGTGTGTTTCAAATGTCAAGAAGGAAGCTCTCGTGCAAGCAGTGCCTGTGCAAGGACTGGAAAGTCAAGAAACCGGCTGAAATGTCACTCTCCGTACCGTTCCGTCAAATCGACAATAATTTCTCGTCTACTGGGGTTTTGCCACATGCTGTCACATTTCCATTCGATATGTTTTGGAATTTCCTCTCTCTCAAATAATCGATAAAGGCTTCGATATGATAGATAGATAGATAGATATCAGGCTCTGCTCTCCCTATTGGCTAATACAATTCTAGCATTGGGTCCTTGTGATGACAACTTTTGTCCTTTCAACCATCTTTGTATTTCCCCTCTTCTTGCTTCGCTCTCGACTGTTTCCGTCGTTAAGAGGATGATCTTTGATTTCAAAAGTCGACATTGTTTTCATGTGAAACCGCAATTTTTGTATGTTTTCAAGCCGTCGCATCTTACATTCTTCGAATGACAAAAGCCCAATTTAAAACGGACTCACTAATTCATATTAAAATTGAAGATGACATAAAATTGAACAGTTATGAGAGTAAACCGATCGATCCCTACCATTTCTGACATTAAGCCGCTTGTTTATGTTACTTGCCACGAAACATTTTGAACAACCACTGAGAAGATGAGGATGATGAGACTGCCCGAAACGATAGTATTGACAGTGTGCTAACACTGATGTCAGGCAACAGAAAGTTAATGCAAAGTGAAGTGAAAATAACTTGGTACCACATGACTGGCAGACCACCACCACCTGTACTACTACTGGTAGTGGTGGTCTATCAATCATATGGTACCAAATTATATCTGCATCGAACGCCATATGTCACTTTTTTTGAAAGAACTATGTTGATTTATGATCAATAATGCAAATTATTCTTTCTTCTCTTTCTCTCTCTCAATGAAAAAGATAAACAGAGAAGGAGAGAGAGGGAGAGAGATGGATAGGAAGACATATATTTATAAACAAATTTAGGTAGGAAAGGCCTGACGTCTTTGTTAGCAACAATGATCAGACGTTCAGTGATGCGAAGTGCAGGAAGGAAAGAAAGGGAAAAGTTTTTGTGGAACAGAAAAAGGACGATTGGTGTCGTTTTCAACATTTCGATGGATGTTTGTGTGCGCTCCTGTGCCTCCCCCTCGATCGACTGATTTATGGTACATTTCGGGCAGAGGCCATTCCAAGCAACCCGTTCTTCCCTGCAACCACTGTGTCGCTGACTGCTCCCATCCGTGCAACATGCATCATCCAACATCACCACCATTCCTTAATCTGCAGATATCAACAAGGCTTCCTTTCTTCCTTCCAGTAATCACCCATCATTCCCATCTCCCACCGTTCTTGCGTGGCGCACGTGGTTGCGATAGATCAAGAGTTCGAGATTCCAGATGTCACACTTCCACAGCCGGCACCTTCCACACTCCAACGGGTCCAGTTTTCAGCTTCCACACTCTCGCAACCTGAACGGATCGAATCTTGACTTCAGTCATTATTACAGACCACAGAGAGACAGACATACACGAGGCAATGCACGAACTGCTTTGTTTGCAAAATTTGCAGAATGACGCGTTCAATGAGCAGCATTTATGCAGCGACATTTTGGCTTCATTGGATTCATTCCATTTAATTCAGTTAGATGAAGGAATAGAAGACAGAGCTGAAGCATAAATCTGTTTCGCAGGATGATGGTGCTAATTAGAGATGCTTGATCATTCCTCCCCATAGCTTCGACCTTTCCACTGAAAAGAGAAAAGCGGTCTTGTCGTGTAATGCACATAGGACCTCGAAATTCGAGATTTTCCATTACAGTTTGTCATGCGGCACGAACACAGTACACTTCCCTCTCTCTCTTTCTCTCCAAGCGATTTAAATTGATAACCTAAATAGTGGAAATGAGTGTGTGTGTGTGTGTGTGTG